TAGGTCTAGGTGTGTTCGGGTCTTTTCCCTTGTAAGATTAAGAGTATCTTGGCGACTTTTCGGCGAGGTCCCACTCGCCATCCTCAGGCTGGTGCTTTCTGCTTTGTGCCAGTGCAAGCACGAAGCCAAAAGCACCAGCCTGAGGATGGCAAGTGGGACCTCGCCGAAACGTCGCCAAGATACTCTTAATCTTACAAGGGAAAAGACCCGAACACACCTAGACCTATGTATATGTATATACATGTATATGCATATACATGTATATGTATATAGATACACACACACACACACACACACACACACACACACACACATACACATACACACATGCAAACACATAACACAGACAAGTACAGATACACAAGTGTGTATTTCCTTCCATTCATCACAATATGTGTGCCTCTGTGTGTATACATACACACACACACAAAACACGCAGGTATATATAATGTGTGTGTATACACATATACATACACATTTACACATGCACACACGCTGGTAGATGTGTGTGTGTGTATAGGTATAGATATATATACATGTGCACATACACACATATTGAGATGAATGGAAGGAAAAGAAGAGGAAGAGGAAGAAGAGGAGGAGAAAGAAGAAGAAGGAAAGAGGAAGAAGAAAAGCAGGGAAGAAGAAGAAAAAGAAAAGGCAAGGGAGAGGAAGAAGGGAATAGAATACCTTTATTGTCACTGTATTCATGAAATTTGAAAGCTACTCCAGCACAGTGCCCCAAACACCACATTACAATCACACTACAGAGTATTTAAAAATTCAAATAAGGAAGAAGAAGGGAAGCGGAAGAAGAAAAAGCAAGGAAGAAAAAAAAGAAAAAGGGAAGGGGAAGAAGAAGAAGAAGAAAAAGAAAGGGGAAGAGGAAGAAGAAGGGAAGAGGAAGAAGAAAAAGCAGGGAACAGGAAGAAAAAGGGAAGATGAAGAAGGACAAGGAAAATGGAAGAGGAAGAAGGAGAAAAAGAAAAAGCAGGAAAAGAAGAAGGGAAGAGGAAGAAGAAGAAAAAGGGAAGAAGAAGAAAAGAAGGGAGGGGGAAGAAGAATGGAAGAGGAAGAAGGAGGCAAAGAGGAGGAGGAGCAAGAGGGAAAGGAGAAGGTAGGGGAGACCAGTTGGTGGGTGGCTTCAACCTAGGGGCAGGGATTGCAAGGTGGGTCCAACCCCGGGATTGGGACAGGTCATTCTGTGCCTGTAGAACAGTGTTCACCAACTGTGGCCCCTCTATGACCTGCGGACTTCAACTCCCAGAATTCCTGAGCCAGCTGTTCCAGCGGTTCCCGCAAGCCAACATTGCCAGAATTCCTGACACTCAGAAGTGAAATAAACACTTTTTAGATCCAAACTGAAGGCTGAGGATATTTCCCCGGCTAGGGAAATAACATCTCAGCCCCCAAAAGCAACGCTGCTCAAACTCTTTGCGCTTCTTAAAACCTCTCCTTCCCGTAGATACCTGCAATACAGAGTAAAATATTTGGCATTCAGTAACAATATTAAAAGAAACTCCCATGTCTCCCTACTCAGTCTTCCTCACTTTTAATGAATGGGGTAAAAACGGTTGTCTGCACTTGTCTTCAAATGTTACGTTGTGTTGTTTCCTTTCACGCAGAGCTGACTGCTGTCTTTGGAATAGAAAGATGAAGAAAGAACAGATGCTCAACTGTCAGTTCTCTTCCTGGTATCCTCGTTTCAAGAAGCAGACGATCCGCAGGTACCCGAGACTAAATTTTACCTTGAATTAGATGGAAGGCTTGTCCCAAAGGTGCTTTTTCTAGAAGAGGCAGCTGGACTTTCCGGGTTTTTTTCTTTGAAGAGGTTTTGCTTTTCACCCAAGAAGCTTCCTCAGTTTGGAGTGAATAGTGGACGATAGAACTGAAGAAGCTTCTCAGATGAGAAGCGAAACATCTTCAAAGAAAAACAAAGTCCAGCTGCCTCTTGAAAAAGCACCTTTGGGACAACCATGACCTGGATGGCTGAGAATCTCCATAAATTTTTAGATAGAGGCTTATTTCTATAGAATTCTCTGCTGATACACCTTATTGGAAATTAGAGATTTCTAATAGTTCATATGTAAGGTTTCTATATGCAAGACAGAATCAGCCAGTCTTTAGATTTGTGCCTTTGTTCTTTTGTTTAAAAGTGATGCTTTTCAGAATTAAGCTAGGTGAAGCAGAATTAACTCCTTAATACAGATAGTCCTTGATTTATGGCTAAAATGGAGTGTATCCGTCAAAGTCGTAAGACACAATTTTGTACAGCAGTTATGAGAATATTATTGTAGTAAGGTTGGTGTCATGCCCCTGTCGGAATCTGATTCGGAGAGGGAGGCTGAGCAGCTGACAGTGAGTGGGAGTGTGGCTCTGTTGGATGTAGAAGGGGAAAGGCAAAGTCCGGCTGGGCAGAGCAGGGGTGAAGTAGAACAAGGGAGAGGGGGTTCAGAGGAAGACCCAGGCCCACCCCGTCTTCATCCTAGGGCACGCAGGGAGGAACGGAGAAAGGAGCAATGTGGGTTGCGTGGCTTATGGGGGAGAAAAGGGCCCTGATTCCCTTCATTAGCTGCAGCTGGGAACACAGTGTTTAAAAAGGAAAGCTGCGCACAGCAAGTTGTTGGGAGCAAATTGTGAATTTATCTGTTATTGTCGAGACTTATCTGGGTTCCTAGTGTCTTCCCAACTGTGTGTGTTTTGTTGGCCTTTCAAGTCTGCAATTTCTTCTCCTGCCCTGTACAGTTAATTACTTCAGCTTGGTTTGTTTGGATTTTTAGTTATAGTTTGTATGTACTTTGTTTTCGGACAGAATTTCCCCCACTTAAAGGCTGTTCTTGGGAGAGTTTTTTCTCCAGCCGAAGGTAACCTGGACATTGGGGGCAAAATTGGAGGTACTAAAGGGGCTCTTCTCGCTTAAGTGACTGTGTTGCCTTTGTGCCACGCCCCTTTTGGGTCGTAACAGTTTGTTAGGGGTGTGGTTTTGCTGGAAGCGGTTGCCGTTTTTGGGGGGAAATTGTCATAAAACTCAAGGTGTGATCACGGGATGTTGCAAATGTGGTCCAGAGACCAAAATTTATTGGACCTTTGAATCGGTGTCATTAAGTAGGCCCCAGGTCAGTCTGTCATAATTTGAACAGGCGCTAAGCAAGCAGTCATAAGTCAAGGATGACCTGGATGCACTTGGAGTCTTTAAATGTTTAAGAAAAGAAATGTTTAAAGAAAACATCAGCTGATGTTTAAAAAAAAGGAAAAAAAGAGTGAGAAACTTAAGATAACAGAATAACGGAGTTGTGAGCCACCTTGGAGGCCTTCTAGACCAATACCCTTTTTGGTGAGTGTTTTACATTTTGACACACTTTTATTGTTTGTTTTTCCTTCTCAGCATTTTGGTTTTGTTTTATTTTGGGGGATTGGAATGAGAATACAGTGAATAGAGTTCATCCTCGCCTTACGACCATAATAGAGCCAGAAATTTCTGTTGCTCAGCAAGGTGTTTCTTAAAGTGACCTTTTTAAGACCTTTCCTGCCACTGTCATTAAGTGAATCATGTGGTTGTTAAGCGAATCTAGCTTCCCCATCGGCTTTGCTGGCCAGAAGGTCGCAAAAGGGGATCACGTGACCCCAGGACGCAGCAACCATCGTAACTGTGAGTCAACTGCCAACCAGCCAAATTTTGATCACGTGGGAAGTCTGCAAACGTCGTAACTGTGAAAAACGCCCATATTTCAGTGCCATTCTAACTTTCGGAACGGTCCCTATACGAACCGTTGTAAGTTGAGGATTATCTGTATAACTGAACTGCCCTAGCAGCAGGCATTTGCATAAAGTGTACAAAACAAGTAGTTTCTTTTTTGTGTCTTCAGATTTATAAGCTCTCTAAAATTATTTAGTTTTAATCCTTTTTTCCCATTTTAGTGTCATCCTTCCAATCCCACAGAACGTCAAGGATTATTTGCTGGATGATGGAACCCTGGTCGTTTCTGGCAGGTAAGAAATTGTCCTTAAAAGATTAAGGTGTGTTTTAAAAAATAATGACATATGGGTTGCTGTGATTTTTCTAAATACAGCAGCTGCTTTTCCTCTCTTCAATGATTATTGTGCCTTTAATGACAGAATAAAAAAGAGTAAAAGTAAAAAAGAGTAAAACTGTATACAATTTTCTTCAGAGGCATTCAAATTTTGTGCCTCCAAAAATATCAAATTTTGTGTCTCCGTAAATCTTAAATTTTTTTCTCTAAAAAAATCTCAAATTTTATCACTCAAAAAATCTCAAATTTTGTGTCTCCATAAATCTCAAATGTTGTGCCTCATAAATCTCAAATCTTGTGTCTCAATAAATCTCAAATTTCATGTCCATAAAGCTCAAATTTTGTGTCTCGTAAATTTCAAATCTTGTGTCTCCATAAATCTCAAATTTTGTGTGTCTATAAATCTCAAATGTTGTATCTCCATAAATCTCAAATTTTGTGTCCATAAATCTCAAATTTTGTCTCTCCAAAAATCTCACATTTTGTCTCTCCAAAAATCTCACATTTTGTGTTTCATTAAATCTCTAAGGAAATGTAAGCTTGACTTAAGCCCATTAAAGTGCAATGATAAACACCACATATTTTTTTCAAACCTGGAATGCAAATTTGAATATGTACAAAGGTTTCAAAATATTTCAGTAAGTACAGGCAGTTCTTGACTTACGACAGTTCATTCAGTGACTATTCCAAGTTATAATGCACGGAAAAAATAATTTTATGACCAGTTTTCACACTTAACGAAATCACGTCACGTGATTTCCTTTTTGCAACCTTCCACAGGGAAGCCAGGTTCACTTAACGACAGTCTGACTAATTTCACAGCTACAGGGATTCACTTAATAGCTGTGATGGAAAAAGGTCGTAATATGGGACAAACTCACGTAACAAATGTTTCACTTAGCAACACATTTTGGACTTGATTGCGGTCGTAAGATGAGGAGTTACCTGTGCTTTTAAAACACCACCTTCTAAATGAGTCTTTCGGCAAAGCAACAATTTGGAGCGTTCCCCAAATCTTTGATCATCTTGCTAAGTGGGTTTTTTTTCCTACAATAACAATTTCCTGCAATTTCCTGCTTTTAACACGAACATTGTCATTTCCTAGTACAATTTGATTGCTTATTGTACCCATGACTATTATTAAGTGTTGTACCTGATGATTCTGGACACTTGATGAATGTCTCTTTTCTTTTATGTACACTAAGAGCATTTGCACCAGAGACAAATTCCTTGGGTGTCCAATCACACTTGGCCAATAAAGTATTCTATTCTATTCTATTCTATTCTATTCTATTCTATTCTATTCTATTCCTTCCCCCTATTCAGCAATATCCTTATATCCTTGTATTCTTACGATTTATATTGACTGTTTCCTAGTATGATTTGATTGTTGATTGTACCCTATGACTATCATTAAGTGTTGTATATTATGATTCTTGATTCTTAACAAATGTATCTTTTCTTTATGTATACTGAGAGTATTTGCAGCAAGACAAATTCCTTGCGGATCCAATCACACTTGGCCAATAAAGAATTCTATTCGTTTCTATTTCTATTTCTATTTCTATTCTTCTATTTTATTCTATCCTATTCTATTTCTATTCTATTCTTGTTTCTGTTTCTGTTTCTATTCTTCTATTCTATTTTATTCTATTCTATTTCTATTTCTATTCTATCCAATCACTAGGTGTTGTATCTTATGATTCTTGATGAATGTATTTCATTTTTTTTCTTATATACACCGAGAGCATTTTGCACCAAAAATAAATTCCTTGTGTGTCCAATCACATTTGGCCAAGAAAGTATTCTATTCTAATTGGAAAAATACTATTAAATTGACCAAAGCAGAATGATCTTTCATCTTGAGGTTTTCCCCCATGAGTGGTTTGCTTTTAAAGATGTTTTTCCCCAGCCTTAAATGTTATAAAAGGTTATCATAATAATCAGTTAAAACTTTGATCATCAAAAGGTTTCCTCTTCTGGTTTGCTTTTTAGAGAAGAGCCCCAAACCATAACCCAAGATGGAGGCGATGAGGAAGAGACAGAAGAAACTGTGGTTTGTAAAAAACGTGATACTGTAACTATTCTTTTTTTTTCTTGTGATGGGGAGGTTCATGCCAGGTGATGTTCCCATCAGGTAAGGGTCTTGTAATGGGTCAGGTGTGGGTCGCATCAAGTGAGACCTTCTTGGGTGAGAAACGAAATGTCTCTTCAAGAGAAAAAAAATAAAGAAAAATCCAGTTGCCCATAAACATTTGAACCTATTCACCATTATGTTTATTGGTTAGCCACAGTTAAACCACTATCAGTAGTTGCATCCCAATCAAAAATAACTCATTTCTGGTCTCTTTTTTTTCAGTGGTCTGATGATGAAAATACGGCAACCCTTACGGTAAGTCCCTCTGTATTCAATTATTTTTTGAATAGAGTAGAATAGAACATAGAGAACGGAACAGAATAGAATGTAAAATATGTAGGATAGGATAGGATAGGATAGGATAGGATAGGATAGGATAGGATAGGATAGGATAGGATAGAACAGGATAGAACAGGATAGAACAGGATAGAATAAGGAATGAAATGGAATAGAGAAAAAAGGAAGGAGAATGGAATGGAATGGAACAGAATGGAACAGAACAGAACAGAATATAGAAAATGAATAGAATAGAACAGAATGTAGAAAATGAATGGAATAGAACAGAACAGAACAGAACAGAACAGAACAGAACAGAACAGAACAGAATAG